TTTGAAGTATGAGAAGAGAAGTTGTTGACACTGTCTCCTCTCATCCAAATTATTCTAGAATAGACTTTTTTTTTTTTTTTTGAGACAGGGTCTCACTATGTCACCCTGGGTAGAGTGCCTTAGAGTCACAGCTCACAGCAACCTCAAACTCTTGGACTTAAGCCATTCTCCTCAGCCTCCTAAGTAGCTGGGACTACAGGCCCCTGCCACAGAGCTTGGCTATTTTTCTGTTGTAGTTGTCACTGTTGATTGGCGGGCCCAGGCCAGGTTTGAACCCACCAGCCTCGTTTTATGTGGCCGCGCCCTAGCCGCTGAGCCACAGGCACCTAGAATAGAGTTATTAATGGAGATTTCAGAAACCTACCTAACACAAACACCTATAATAATTGTTGATGTTGGGTCAGAACCACTCTGCTCTCACCAAGGTCACCAACTGCCATGCTCAGCAGGGTCTTGCAGACGGTAACTATGTGGCGAATTGAATTATTCTCAATTTTCCTTGAGTCCACTTTGGGTTATACACTTGCCCTCTTCCAAGCACTGGGGAGAGAAGAGGGCGAATTCGTCTGACCGCGCAGGAAAAAGGACGGTGCACAGTGGGACCTGGAGCGAGGGGACCCACACTCGGCCCCGCTGGCCACAGAGGAAGGTGCCCAGAGGAAGGGGGAAGCTGGCGTCCTGCGGGGCGCCGCGGAGGTGCGGCGGGGCGGGCACACCACCCACGGCGCAGGGCCCCGACAGGACGAGAGGGGGCCGAGGACCTGCAGAACTGAGGAGGTCATGCCAGCTACCCCCCACCCCGCCACCCGACGCCACCCAGTAGAGAGTCCGGGACGCCGTCCTGGTCCCCGCAGGCGGCAAGTCCAAGTCCTCCCGCCAACCGGGGATTATCGAGCTAGCGGCTTCAAAAGTCTGGGCGAGAGGAAGCCGAGATGTGTCGCCCTGCACCCGGGCTGGAGCAGCTGCCAAATTCAGCCTCCGCCTTGCCTTTTCTCCTGCCTGCTCCTCTGCCTCTCAAAGGATGCTGACAGAAGCCACTACCCCTTGGGGCCTCCTGCGGAGATACTAGTGCTCCTTGCTCAGCCGCAATTCCTGCCCCCCCCTCGCTGCTCCCCCCAATAGGACACCCACCCCACACTCTGTCCCCAACGCCACTCCCTGCTCCTTCCCCAACTACACCACCTCCTCCCAATGAGCCCCCTCACACGTTCCCCTGCCCCCAGTTGCTCCCATAGCCACAGGCACTCCTCCCTGGGGCCTCCGACTCTGCCCACCCAAGTATAGGGGAAAGGGTTCTTTCCACCACGGGGAGGTGCATGAGAGGAGAAGCCAGTTTGGCTCAAGTGTGTTTCTCTCAGGTTGCCTTGGGGTGCTGTTTAGTTCTCTAGAGTCACAGAGCTTTCCCACCTGGGTACAGAGAATGGCTGGCCAGCAGGAACCTTCCACACTTGCCCAAAAACACCCAAGAGCACTCAGAGGACAGACATCTAGGGTCAGTGTTTCTCCTCCCCCTTATCCAGGGAGTAGAGTGCCCCACACCCAACCCCTGGGGCCTGTTCTCTAGTGGGCTGGGCCCACAGATGCCCCACGCTGACAGTCCTTCCCTTCCTACTGTCCCCCAGCATATGATTACTTGATCGAAAGCCTTCTGACAAAACACCTTTCTTTGGTTGTTTAATTAGTCACTTTTAGCCATCTCCAGTTCTCAAATTGTCAGCCTGCTTCATCCGTTGTCTGCTGGTTCAGCCCGTTTCATTGCAGAATCACTGCCACACAGGGCACCTTCCTGCCTGTCTTCCTCTCCCTTCTCACAGCTGTCTTTGGCTGAGTTCTTCCTTAATTACCAGAGGGTGTGCTTGTATTCATGTAACTTTATGAAGGGTTATAGTTTGCTTTATATGGATTTGGGGTAGTTATTCATTTGAACATGTGACAACATAACATATATGATGTACATTTGCTCTTGTTTTACCTAGGAATGTTGACTTTTTTCCTTCTTGTTCCCTCTTGAATAGAACTTTTAGTCCTGTGCTTGCAGAGGTCCCAGGAATAACTTCTGTAGGAAAGGTTTGGCAGGTATAAAGCAGGGAAGGTGAAAGGGCCACAAAAGGGAGGAGAGTTCAAACTGGTAAATGCCCCTGTCTGCCAGTGGGCCGGATGGATGGTTCTAGGTCCAGGAGCACAGGGCCTAGCTTCTGAAAATACAAATTCTGATTTATTTTTTTATGGCCTACAAGGTGGGGGAGGAGTGAGCATATAAAAATGCCTAAGGTGGCGACCCTTTGTGAGCTAAAATATGCATACACATATATAGCCCACGACAGTCTGGTTTGCTCAGTCCAAAACACTGGAGCTAGGGGAAGGTTTTGTATAAGAGTACTTGTCAACACAAGGGTATACAGCACATGTGTGTGGACAATGTACTCCCTAAGTATTGAGCACCAATCACGTGCTGAACAATTTTGCTTATGTAGAAGTCTCTCCATAAATCTACAATTTGGACATTATTCCCACTTTACGGACAAAAAGAACTGAGGCTCAGACAGATTAAGTAACTCACCCAAGGTCACAGAATCAGTAACCAACTGGTTGAGCAGTGATTTGGCCATTCAGTGATACACTCCCCCCCATTCCCAGTCCTCCCACTGATAGACTGGTCGGGTAGGACAGGCCCAGAAATCTTAACTTTTTAAAAGCTTCTCTGCTGATTCTGATGATTGCCCAGGTCTTTGGAATCACTGCCCCACACCAACCCTCTCGCTATTCCTGTCACCAGTCTTGCCTCTGAGCAGTCTACTCCACGTTGGATAAAACATTTAAAACATATTTAAATAGCAATTTTGAAAAACTATGCAACATATGGATTTTCCTTTTGATCTCAAAATGATGACAAACAGACACTTAGATACTTCATAAAAGAAATATTACCAGAAAAATTATAGAGATCTGGCTTTCAACTTTGTCTTGCTCTAATTTAAACAAAATGCAACTTTCCAGAGTTACTCTCTACCCAAACAAATCCAAACTGGGAGTTTTCTTTTCTTTTCCCTGTGTCTGGCCTACATCTATTTATTTATAACCCGCTCCTCATCCTGAATAAAGCTCTGTAAGATGAACGGTATGGATAACTTAAGTCCTATCACCAAGGCCCCTGAAAATAGAGCACCTCCTCCTAATTCACAGCCTTGGAGTGGAAGACCAAAGAAAGGGAAGCTGGGACTAACAGCCAAATATCCTTAGATTGGCAAATGAAAGGAGGTGGGCAGAAGGGGAGATCTCTATCGCTTCGAACGCCCTGCCCTCCTGCAGTCCCAGGAGAGAGCAGCAGTCCCCAGCCCCTGTCCCTCAGTCTCCGCTGTCCGCTGCAGCAACAGGCAGGCAGCGGGGGAGGGAACGCTGTGGGGGCAGCGCGGGCTTGGTGTCAGCCGAGGTACCCCGGCCGCATCTCACGTTCCCCGGCGCCACGGTGTGCCGGGAGCAGGTGTTTGCCCTCTGCGCCCGGGCGTGCGCGGAGCCCAGGCTCGCGTAGCAGGGCTCCAGCCCTCACCGCGGCCAGGGATGAAGCCAGTGCTGCGGCTGGGCTGCGGCGGGGAAAGACCGGGTGAGCGGGCTGGGAAGTCTGGACCCCCAAGGGGTGCGCAGGCAGGAGGCGCGCGCCCTTTCCTTAGCAGAGTGCGGCGCCGCGGCTGTCGCTGCGGCATCTCGCGCTAGCTTTTTCCGGGCAGAGAGGCCGCGACACCTAGCGCGGGGCTGAGGCGGGGAGGGGAGGGAGGAGGACACCCGGAGCAAAGGGCGAACAAGGAAGACCCGCTCCCGCCAAGTGCCTGCAGAGGAGACTTCCAGCCTTCCTGCCCAACCCGAAACTTTTCCAACACAGGCGGGCGTATTCCTCCCAGATTTCAGCGGCTCCGAAATCACATCGCAGCCACGCAGGAGGCTTGGCAACACACGTGCCCTGGCACACACACGGAGGTGCACGGACACCCCAGAAGGGACCCGGGCTCTGGTGAGGTGGCTGAGGGCGTGAAGGCAGCGACGGCCACACAGCAGAAAGGACTTCCCGCAGGCGGGAATGAGCACTTTAAAACCTGCCACAGCTCTGAAGAGTGACGGTGCCCAGAGGCTTTGCGTAACTTTGCCCACTGCGCCCCCGCGTGCAAAGGCGTCCCTTCACAATCACCCTCACCCCACCCGACTCCCCTTGGGCTACTGCCCCAGTGACTGACTGTCTTTGTACTTAATCGACAGCGGAATCTATGATGATCTGAGCCAAAGCGGTGGTGGTGGTGGGGTGTAAATAGTGCAAATTCCACTTTCGAGCACCCCTCCCCTATGGAGCTAGAGAGAGCACCCCATTCTCCCCGAAGGCGCGTCCTCTCTGCTTCTCTCTGCCATTGGGTCTCCAGCTTCTTCACTATGGGCTGAAGAAGATAAAATACAACCAGATTGATGTGTATTCCACCACCACCACCATCCGCCCCCCCCCCCACACACACACCTAAAATCAGGGCCTCTCCAAATCCTAGCCCCAAAAGCTCTGAGTGGGGAAAGGCGAGTTACATGAGGGAGCTAATAGCACCCCCTCGGAAGGTGAGCTCGCGGCCTGGCGGGCGCCTTGCGGGGCTCTGCGCGGCCGAGCGGAGTGGCTGGATTATGTAAGTAGCAGCCCTCCATGTGCTCACCACCATCTGTTAATATCTTGATATTGGAAAGTTCGGTGCCTGAGGCAAAGCCAGGGTTGGCGGCGAAGAGCTCCCAGCCTACTCTTTTCTACTCCAGGGCAGGGAATGTGTCTTCCTTTGATTATTTTCACCCACTTTCATAAAATCAAGTGGTAGCGTGCCCCTTCGATCACTGACAACCCCCTCATCCCCGTGAGTGCCTATTTGTGGGCAAAGAATGATTTTCTTCAAGATCACCTTATTGTAATAAGTCCTTTCGATGAACTTATATTTGTATGACAATTCTGCCCTCCTTTAAGCCATGGAGCTGATTCTTAATTTGGGGGTGTGACTTTATTATTTACAAAATTACTTTTTCTGCCAGCACCCCTGGATCCAAATTCTTGCAAGGGTTATATTGCAACTTCTTTGGAGTGATTGGCTTCTGTTTACTTAGAAAGCTGTTGGTTAAACAAACATCACTGGAGAGGCTTCTAAGCAGTGGGGTTCCCAGGAGAGAAAACGCTGCAGCTGCTACTTGCTACTGATCTCGTGGCATTTCACTCCCCCCTCCCCATTTAGAACAAATCCAGGTTGAGCTTGGCCTCACGCTGAGCACAGGGGATGAGCCTGAGAGAGAGCCCGTCAGTCAGTCCGCCTCTAAACACCCTGCAGCAGGCCGGCCTGCACCCTGGGATTGGTATTTCTCTCTGTCCTTCTTCAGGATGATGGTAGTGGTGATGGTGGTGGTGGGTTCTATCAAGGTTCTCCACATCCTTCTCTAAAATCCACACCCACGTTTGCCTCTCAGCTGCATCTGGATGAAATTCCCAGAATTGGTTTATTTAAGATCTGATGATTGTTGTTTGTAAGGTTTTAAATTACTCATATGCACAAGTCTTCCCTCCTACCCCCACCTAAGAGCTTTTAAGAAAGACTGGGGGTGGGGGTTTGGGAGGCTACACCAAGGAAATGTCAAGGCGAAGTATGTTTAACCCAGAACAGATGGATGGGCGATAACTGCAAAAGTTTGACTAAGAACACACAGATCACCCTTCAGATAAATAAGTAAATGCAACCTGCAAGAATAGGGTTTGTTAAGAGACCCAGTCATAACTTGTGTTAACTTTTAAGTTATTCAGATTGTCTTGGCAATGGAGCAGAAGGAGGGGTTGCCTTGACCCTAGGCTTGGGCTCTGGTTTCAGAGATGAAGCCAATATCTAGGCGACTTGTAGTCTCCAGGCTGACTGATCGCTTCTCCCCTATCAGAAAACAAACCGGGAGTCGCCTGAGATAGGGGGCTCAGGCCTCATTCCTTGCTCAAGGGCTGCCCTGGACCCGGGAGAACGCTGCAGCACAGGCAAAAGAGATTGCCAGAAGCCTGGCCTGTATGTCGCCCCTACAGTAGAGGACAGGGCAGGACTCCACGTAGGCAACTCACCGCACTAGGAGCGGAGCTCGCTCGCTTAGCATCGCGCGCGCTTCCATTTCAACTAGCCGCTCCTGCGCCCTAATGCGGGCTGCGAACAGCAGTGGCAGAGCGTCGCGAGCCGTAAGCCCTGCTACCCAGGCTGGGCGATGGGGAGCTTCCTTGTTTGCCAAGCGGGTTACCCTGACTTGGACTCTGGGCCTGCCTCCTCCCGGAATGATAAAGGACTTACTGGGGTTCGCAGGGAACTTTTCTCACGCAGTTTCGGGCGTGGTGTGTGCAAAACATGCATTCGAGCGCAACGTGCAATGGACACAAACCTGTGGGCTGAAGTTCAAGCCATTTCTCTCCTGAGTCTAAATCCTTTTCTCAGTTCGTGAATCCTTTCTCTCCCCTTCTCTCACTCTGCTCTCCTCCCTTTTATATGTCAAGCTGAGCTGCTGGTTTTAAGGTGCGGAGGGCACAATATCCTTTACTCCTACCAGTTTGTGAGCTGGCGCTAACTTGTATATACAAGCTAAGATTCTTACAGAAAAGTAATGGGACGAAAAAGAAGAAAGGAAGGAGCTTTGATTCATTTTCAGACTCCAGATTTCCCCGCTCAATACACCCGCTTACCTCGAAGGAACCCAACCAATGGAAGCAGTATTCTACCCTGTATTTAATGGGCATGTGGATAGATTATTTCTGTTCCCAACATAAATTATCACATCCCAGCTAGAACACTTGATACCACCGTCAGTCGTTGGAGGTATGAGTATGCTGTCTGTGTTGTTCTCATAATGCAGAGGGGGGAGTGTCAGAGGGCGGCGAAAGGGGGCCAAAAGAAGGTTGGGGATGCGCAGGGAAGTCTCTTTCTAATACCAGCACCAAACCTGGCCGGCCTAATTTTTTCTCCTTCTTCTTTTCAATGTTTGAATTCCTAGCCAAAAGTTCCCTACAGTGTATAGATTCAGACATACTAACATCGTTATTCTGACTCAAAAAAAAAAAAAAGACTTAATATCCTGTTTATAGTTTGGTAAATTTGAGGCTGAAACTGTAAATTTCCTAGAAAGGAGAGAGAGATTGAGAGAGCGTGTGTGTGTTGTGACAGAAGATGGTGGTAGTGTTTGGCCAGGGTACTTGTAACACATCTCATAAATACCCTGTTGTCACGACACAGCATGATTCAACCTTTGATCTGATTAAATTTGAGTGACACGTGAAAAAATACCTATCCTCATCCCACCTAAAAAAAAAAAATCAGTGTCTAATCGACTATGTATGAACGTTCCTGCTTCCCAGCTCTTGCAAGTCCTAGTTTTTATAGGATCTTTAAGTCATAAACGCCTCTGCTTTATTAAAAGCCGTTTACTGTGCCCGATGAAAGGGACTTTCTGACTGCCGCTGGAGGCTCGATCTTTACCATTTGTAACTTGCAAAGCCCAAGGAGCTCCTTAAAAGCCATGTAATTTAAAGAAATCTTGCTAGTTTTTTTAAATCCAAGAAAACGTTAAACCAAAGTGAATTCTCAATGGTTTTACGTTAGAGCCTGACACTTAAGCGACTGAAATCTCTTGCCTAATAAACTTTAAAGTTTGTTCACCAGGCGGCAAAACTGTGTAAATCCTGGATTGTACCTCTTTCCTAGGTCATTCTGGGGTGAGTGAATTATTGAGGGGTAATCGCCAGATAATGTTTGTAACGTAGTCGAATTTTTTAAAGGGCTGCTGTACCTGCAATCTTAATAATTTTAGAGACAACCAAGGGTGAATATTCTTCTCCTTAATAATTTCCACTGGAGATTGGGACTCAGCCAATGTTGATCTTCTGATATCAGACGCAACGGACTCAGCGTGAACCCTCTGGCGCTTATTATTTTAATACCAAACCTACCTGTATTTTACTGTCCACCTTCCCTTTAAAAGGAAGCAAAGGTGACATGTATTCTTGATACTACCTATGATCCTTTTAAAAGTGGAATGGTCTGCAGATCCCTCACTCCCTCCTCCTACACCACCCCACTCCTAAAGCCCCCACTTTTTCCCCCATATACTTTAACGTGCCTTCCTCCACCCAAGTCTGAGGAGCGCTCACTCGCTCGGCCCTCGACGAACTCGATCAGCTGTATCTGGGAAATGAAAGAGAGAAAGAGAGAGAGAGAGGGAGAGAGACAGAGGACCTGCGTCCTGGGAGAGCGAGAGTGAGCCGGGCGCCGCTCGCGCCGTCTCCCGCTTTGCACAGTGCCCGCAGATGGCTTGCTCCGGCCCCGGCGCGGCGATCCAGTCGCCCCGAAGCAGTGGCAGGGCGGGGGTGGGGGTGGGGGCCCGGGATGGAGGCCGGGGAGGGGGAGCGCGGGGCCCCTCTCCCCTCCTCTCTTCCCAGCCCCTCACCCCCACCCCTTTTATATATTTTTTTTCCTCCCAAGTTCTCTTGCCTTGCTATCCCCCCTTGAATCCGAAGGCGCCTCGCGATTGGGTGCTGGGGCCGGGTACGTCAGTCAGACTGTGACGTGCAGTCTTCCTGTTTCCTTCAGCTGTGTCTTAAAGTAAATCTTGTTGTGGAGCGGAGCCCTCAGCTGAGGGAGCGCTCTGAAATAATACACCATTGCAGCCGGGGAAAGCAGAGCGGCGCAAAAGAGCTCTCGCCGGGTCCGCCTGCTCCCTCTCCGCTTCGCTCCTCTTCTTTCCTCTTCTCTCCTCTCCTGCATTCTCTTCCTCTTTTCTTTTTCTCCTCTTCTAGCCTCTCCTCTCCTGTCCCCTCCCCGCCCTCCTCAGTCTCTCCCCTCTCCCTCTCCCACTCGCCCCGCTCCCTCGCTCGCTCGCTCTCGCACAGACTCACCGTCCCTTGTCCAATTATCATATTCATCACCCGCAAGACATCACCGTGTGTGCGCG